AATGAAATCAAACCAAATTCGCCCACACTCCGTCCATGGGCTAATCCAGGGACGGGCTAGGCTGTGCTACAGCCCGTCCTTCTAGATCAAATGTTCATTAAAAAAAAAAAATTTTAAGTAAAATATTTTTTTTATGTGCGATATATATATATTATACGTATTAGTCCGTTCTGAATTTTTTTTTTTTTTTTTTTTAGGATCCGGCCTGACTTCGTCACCGCCACCCAGCCATAGCCACCACTACAAACTGCAGTCACCTAAAACCAAACTTCAAGCAGATTCTTCCCTTGAAAGTTGAATCCCTATGAAATGGATTGTGAGAATTGTTGACCAGCTTAAAAAAAAACCTTTTTTAATAAAAAAGGAATAAAATATTAAATATATACATTTCGTTTGTCTTTAATAGATTTCAAAAAACCATTTCTTACGTTTACTCTCCATATTTACACTTTAACTATTTTATATAGGGAAAATTGCAGCCGAGGTACCAAACCTTTCGTTTATTAGCAGACTTTGTCCAAACCTTTCATTTGTGCCGTTGGAAGTACCAAACCTTTCAAAAATCCACACCCGAAGTCTAAATGGATGGAAACCGTCAATTTGACATTTAGTTGACCAATAAAATTAAACATTGACCAATTTTTGACCAATTGAAAATGGTAAAAAGGTAAAAGTTACTTAACCCTCTAATAAAATAATTAAAATTAAAAAAAATACTATTCATCTCCCACCCCACCCCACCCCACCCCACCATCAACCCAAACCCAAACACAGAAAAGCTAAACAAACACGGAGGTTTATACTATACAAAATACATTCACTTCCCCACGTATAGTTTTCCATATAGCCAAATCATAACCAGTATTTCTCACTTTGGCACCGAGGTCGTACGACGAGTCCTAGTACAGCCCACCCTATAAATACAAGTATTTATACTGCGGGTCTTCTTTGTACGGGAACTTGAATGCTGCTAGAGTAAGGGAATGGATGGCCTATCACGCCTGGTTCTTCGGGCTGAGCTCGCATTTCGTGTTCCATGACGTCGAAGGAGTGTCGGCCGAGGCGAGGACGACACTAGAGCCATGGATAAGAGCTGGTCAAGTGACTTTACAGGACATAAGAGCTCAAGTCAAGTACGATAGATACTATTACAACCAGTTCTTGATAGTGAATGACTGCCTCCATCGCCATCGTTTTTCTGCAAATTGGACTTTCTTTTTCAATGTTGATGAATACATTTATCTTCCTAATGGAAACACTTTGGAATTAGTGCTTAAAGAATTCTCAAATGTTACACAATTCACCATTGAGCAAAATGTCATGTCTAGTGAACTGTGCTTGAATGATTCCAGGTTTTGGGTAGTGGCTTAGGCGGCTGTTTTGGGCTTGAGTTGATGTGGGGTGGTTGAAGAAGAAGGCGGCTATTTAATTTCTGTTTTTTGTTTTGGATGGGGTGGGGGTAAGGTGGCGTGCGGGTGGGGGGGGGGTGGGTGAAGAAGAAGATGAATAGTAATTTTTTTTTTAATATTTTAGTTATTTATTTTAATTGTTTTATTATAGGGTTAAGTAACTTTTACCTTTTTATCCTTTTCAATTGGTCAAAAATTGGTCAATGTTTAATTTTATTGGTCAACTAACGATCAAATGGACGGTTTCCATTACTTAAAAATAATTTAATAATTTTTAAAGTATAATTTTTTATTTTTTTGTTTGAGACAAAATTAAAGTTTTCAAGTTCTTTTTCACTAATTTTTCTATACATTTAAATTAATGATTTTCTGAACTCATTCATGAGTGATAATGGCTGAATTTTGATTTTATAATTTTGTATATTATATTAAAAAATATATTTTTCCCTTTTTGTGATTTACAAATTATTTATTAGTTATTGACAAAAAATTTTTGTATTATCTATTCAATTTATTTTAGTTAAAATTAATTTTTTTTCAAACAGAATAAGTATATAAAATAATTATTTGAAATTACAAAGTGAATGTAAATATTGGACTAATTTTTTTGAAAAAGTTTCTAAAAGTAGCAAATTATTCATAGGTTAGATATAGTTTATTAAATAAAAGATAATAAAGTATTACTTACAGTAGTGGTAAGGTTGTGTTCTACTTACTTAGAAGTTAAGGGTTCAAATTTATGGTATCTATAATTTCAATGTAAAAGAGTTTTGAAATTTGATTTAAAAATCAATCTGGTCGAATCGGGCTGAGCCAGCCCGAAAATTATTCAAAAATCACCTACTTGCATTTATATAAAATAAGCTAGCCCGGGTCATCGGTTTACCGAGCTGACGTCTAGGTTGGGCCAGTTTTAATAACTATGTTACATACTACATTTTACTATATAATAATCAAAATAACTTTTGTTAAAAAGTTTACAAATATACTATTAAAAATAGTTAAATAAACCAAAGTACTCAAAATAAAAAATAAGAAATCACGCCCTTTGTATTATAATATGTAATAATTTACATATCTATTTTTTTTAACTGCTTTTATAACTTTACACAAATTTATAGTTTTTTTTTAATTAATTACAATTACATATTCTTCTTTTTTTATGAAGCTTTCTCGTGGAAATGAAAATAATAATAATAATAACAAGCTTAAATGCAATGTTTTAAAAACCGACCAAGGAATCGACCCAAAAAAGAAAGAGGATCAAGATTTAAAGGGTCAAACCAGATGACAAATTAAACTATAAAATATCATAACTATAATAGATTTTAAACTTTTAGTTTTCTCATTCAAAGTAAATATAATCCATATTTATTAATTAGATTTATTATAGTAATTTATTTTATAATCTCAAAAACTAGCAATTAATATGTTCAAAATAATTTGTTTTGTTCAAATTGAAATTGTTTGTGATTATAATCTTGTTGGGGCTTATGATTTTTTAATGAAAATAATAAAGTAAACTAACAAACACTTATAATTAACAATTGCCTAGTATCCAACATTGGAAGATTACCATGATACTGGAAAAAGACTATCCTTTAAATATGAGCCAAACTTGTACAAGAAAATTATTTGGGCCTTTTATTGCAATGGGTGGCCCATCAAAGATAGCTAACATTTTTTCTGAAAAATAATTCATATTTCTCGAAAAAAAATAAGCGAAGTCGTGATCTGTTTTCAGTAAAAATTGGCCGGTGGTGGCCTATCAAAGATAGTTAAAAAAAAAATTCTAAAAAAATTCATATTTCTCAAAAAAAAAACCAGAAAAATCATGACCTGTTTTCGGTTCATGGTTAAATCGGTTGGGTTGATGATTTATTAGCCAGATTTTTATTTTTCGATTGATGTATGGTTATCGGACCATATTAGAGGCCAATTCACGATTTTTCCGATTGAACCGATCGGTTCGGATCAATTTTCATAACATTGCTTAAATGAATGAAAAATTCATTTTAGCTACAAAATAACAAATAATATAAAAACTATCTTAATTGATTTCTATTATTTTTATTCATTTGCTTCTATAGCATTGGAAGATTTACTTATTTATTTATTCAATATTTTATTAATTTATTAAAACTAATTTATATTGCCCTTGTTTGAGCCCCATTTTTTTCAAAAAAATATGTTCTTAAATAGTGTTTTGACATTATTTCAACCACACATTTTTCAATAAAATAATATTACATTCAAATTCAAAACTTTTACTTATTCTTTAACCACACATTTTCCATCAATACAGTATTTAAAAATTCATTTTCTCCCAAAAATGGGGCTCAAACAAGGGCATTAATTGATGGATTAAAAATGAGTAAAGAAAGACTAAGTTTATGTATTATAAGACGAGATGGCAATATTTTTACAGTGTTTGACTACGAGACAAACGAGAAGGCTAGTCCAACGAATTTGAGCACATGCAGGTCCAAATCCCGATGACGTGACCAACAAATTTATCTTATTTAAAAAAAGGGTTGAACCCCAACCTTGAAGGCTCCCCGCGCCCCCACCCTGGCCCGTCCCGTCCCGCGAACTTTGTGAGGGAGGTAAATCGCGGGATATGCTCCAACAGGTCAGGGAACAAGAGCTGCTTGTACACTACGCCTACAAAGAGTCCAATTTTATGTCTCAGAAATCGAACCCCCATATTGCGACTGCCAGCAAGACGTGAGATAACCCCACTCATGTCCTTTATACCACTGGACTATGTTTAGTATCTCCTAAACATTTTTACTTAAAATGTGAAGTATCGAAAATTTAAGTAGAGTGAGCGTTCTAAACTTTTGTTATTGCATCCATGTGAAGGATATTATATTCATGTTAGAGACTAATTTTTTCTATGAGGGACTACTAGAGCTGGTTCTAGTTTACGATGCAATTGTTGGTAACAGTAATTGTCACCATTCTTAATTCTGGTAAGCCTTGTTTTACGAGATTTTTGAAAAGTCGCAATTTATTTATGAGATTAAGAAGTTAATTTTAAATATGTTTGGATAAAACTTTTCTATAAGAAGTAGAAGCTCTACCAAACAGGCATATAGTGTTTGCATTCTTAAGGATTTTTCTTTGTTTTTCATAAGAAATCTATCTGGATTGTCCAACACAAGGACATGCCATTGGTCCTTAACAATACGGCTTGACTGTTAATCTACTCTTCAAAACATAATATTGAGAATGCTCATTGATACAGATTTTTGGAAGTTCATAGAAAAATTATTGCAATTTATGAAAGTCTTTTTCAAAGATTCTATAGAAATTTATTTTATGAATGTGTAAAGTTTTTTCCTTTTTAAATAAGAAAGTGACATTTCTTTCAAACTTTTAGATAGCCTTTCGTTCGAGGCAAAACTTGAATTCTTATGGATAGAAAGTTTCTATCACATTGTTTGATGAACCCTACATGCCGTCGGGAGTAAAAAATTGTTAACAGGAGTGTTCTTTGAGGGTGATTGTGCAAATCGGCCCCATCAAATGCCTTGAGTTACATGGATTGAAATACCACAATGAAAATGAATTCATTAATTTCCAGAGTCAACAAAGTAAGATATATCATCAAATGCAGAAGGAGAAAAATACACTTTCTCATCCCTCCAAACTTCAAACTACTTTTGGAGTAAAAAGTGTCACGCTTCTGAAAAGAAAAAGGTTTAAAGATAAATACAAATACAAATATAATTCTTATTTAAAAAATCTTTAGAAGGGACTCAATCCATCATGTGACAAAATATATGGGCATGGCATTTGATGAAATCCTATGTTGCTGGTCCATGTTAAGCTCCCTAAGGCTAATGTAAGGGATCCTCACCTCATCTTTCCCGGTGGAGGTCAAAGTTCCGGCGAGTGGACCAGAAGATGGCCGGTTGATTTTACGGTAAGGGGTGGAGGATCCACTTCTACTTTCAGTGATATAAACCGGCCCGGATATTGGTCCTATGCATGCATGGCCACGTTGGACTCCGCCATGATTATCAAGATCCTTGGTGGCAGCGCCACCATGCGCCGCTCTCTTGAAGAAGAGGAAGGCGTTCTTCCACCACCGCTTCTTGTTCTTCTTGATCTTCTTGGAGGATTCGTCCTTGGAAATGGGCTTTTGCAGCTTGAAATGAATTGTGTCTATAGATCTTGAACTCTCCCTCTTGTTGTACTTCCTCGCTTCTTCCAAAACCTCAATTTTACAAAAATTAAACAAACATACTTGTTAAGCAATAAGGCTATTGGTATACTATCAAGTAGTGAATAAGACTGAAACGTGTAAAACTGTAAATCAAAGATCAACATGATACGTTACACAAAATTATATGCAACATTACAATTCAATTTATGCCACGAAATAATGGACACGCCCAAACAGTACAATAGACAATTTTAAGATTGTCAATTCAAAAATCAAAATGAGAAATAGATTCACTGAAATATATGCCAGCACTTGACACGACCAAACAATACAATACGTAAGAAGTAAATATATGGTAAATGGATAACTAAAGTACCTGAAAGCAATCAATTTGAGGGTCAAAACCATAGTCACTAAAATGATGAGGTTCTTGAATGGGAAAGATGGGTGAATATACATTTGACATTGGGTTTTTTAGTTTGCTAAACCTCTCAAGTCTCTGTTTTTCCTTTTTGCAGAGAGGAGAGGATGAAGGGGCTGTAAATGGGGATGTGGGAGTGGGGTTGGGTTAGAGTGCGGTTGAAGGGAGAATGGCCGTTGGCATTTGGGAACCCTAGTAAATGCTTTCACACCTTTTATTGGACATCCCATAGTGCACACTTGAGTTTAAGTATTAAAAATTTGGAAGTTGTCTCCTTGAATCAAAATAAGTTCTAATTTTATTTTATTTTATCTAAATAAATAGTGTGCGTCCTTTTTCTAACTTTGTTTTGTCAAAGTGTCCTTCTAATTGATTAGACTTTTATTTTTTATTTTTTCTTGAAAATTATTAGATGAGATGTCTTTTTTGTCAAGAGATATTTTATTTGTAATTAGTTGAAATTTATAATCTGAATTATCTTTAATAATCCTCAAGGATTTTGATTTTTGATGGTCGATTACTTTGGAAACAACGAGAAATCTGAATTCTTATGAAATATTGAATTAAAAATATACTTTTTTCTATTGTGGTACATTAAATCTATGAATTGTTTAGATAGGAATTATAATTGCCCACTTGGTTTTGTTGCAAAGGAAAGAAGCAGCATCGTATGAGAAATGAAATTTTGACGTGAGTTAAATTTTGGGATCTAGTGTTGAAAGATTTAGCCCTTGTTTGTTTTTCATTCTTTCCCCATTAAAATGAAAAATATGACCGTTATCAGCCACATCAAGCCACCATATTTGAATTTCTATATTTCGTGTTTGTACATCTTTGTGCAAGCAAAAAGAGAAATTCCGGAGAATCGAATTCACCACTGATTCTCAAGGTAGTACTGAGAATCTAATTGAAATCGATTGATTCTCAATGCATAGTCCCAAATTTGACCCATTTAATAGAGGAACGAGTGTTGAATCATTCGGTTATATTTGGTTTTGGTCCGATTCCCCAAAAAAAAGCTCATCGCTAGTTTTTTTTTTTTTTTTTCCTTCTGAAAATGAAGGATTACCACATTCCATGACGAATAATTAATTTAAGAGTAATTATATTTACACCACAATTTTTTATTTCTTGTATTATGTTTTAATTGCACTTAAGATTTTCAATCTTTGCTCATTATAGCACTATATCCTTAATGATTTTTCATGTCATTTTTATCCTCAAACTTTCCATTAATTAACACATTTTGTGTTTGGTAACATTTTTATGTTCAAAAGTCCATTAAAATGACATAAAACAACTTACTTTTCATAATATTTAAAAAATAAATAAATGCAAAAAAATATTTTTCAATCATTTAAAAGCATGAAAACAGAATATTTTGATTTAAATCATCCATCAAGGATGGGACGTACTAATTATGGAAGGTTGAAGATAAAAATTCGACAGAAAAACGTTCGAAAATAATTGCAACAATAACCAAAGACAAATGTTAAAAAGTTTAACTATAATTAAAATGTAGTGTATCAAATGAAAACTATGGTGACAATGTAATCACCCTTAATTTAAGAGTAAATTGCATAAACCAGGTTCATGACAATTGCATAGATGCACTCTCATTTTTTAATTAATTAGCTACCCTAGTTTGTCTATTAAATAAGAAATCAATATTCACACAAATATAATTACGATTACCTAACGTACAAAGATTTAAAAATAATCTTATATATATATTAAGATTTCTGAAATTTTTGAAAAGGGAAGATATGTTTTATAATTGTCATGAACTCAAGTGAGAGTTTCTGAAATTTGCCCTTAATAAAATTATCTTTTACTAATTTGAATTAAATTTTATACATATTTAAATTATATATAAATTCTCTAACTTTATTTTCAAGCATACATTCTAATGGACCCATAAATATTATTTATTTATTCATCACTTATTTTTATATATTAGTAAATTAAAAAGTTAATAAACTACTTCCCGAAACGAGACAAAAGGCATTTCACGGGATGAGTGAAGTCAGCAGTAAGCCTTCATTAATTAAATGACCCCAAGGCACGAGCAACTAAGCGTGATTAGCAAGGGTATCACGTGATCAAGTGAGGTGGTGCTTTAATAAAAAATAGTAGTTATATTAAATAAATATTTATTGAATCTCATAGTATTTAAACATCTCCAAGAGATTCATTTTTTTTAAAGAGCATATTCTATCATTTGGAGAGTATTTATAAATTTACAGAGTTAAAATTTAGAAATACTCCAAAAAACTCTTTATATTTAACTAGTTTTTCTTTAAATTATTTTATTTTTTATTTTAAAAAAATTGAAACTCTCTAAATTAAAATGTTAATTTAAAGAGCCGCTTGAAGTATGATTTTAAAGATTGACTCTTTAAAATAAAAAGCATCTCGTATCTAAAGAGTATCTTTAAATAATGAAGTTCAGAAAGGAGCTTAATGTTTATTAAAATAAATTGTCCGTAAATGAATACTAATTTAATGCACTAGGTAGCTTAAGTTCGATCTTAATTTGTTAACTTTATATATTTGACTTTGTTAGAAATATGCAAACAAATTTTCATACCGAACATGAGCAGATATGCAACTATAAGATAATTGGATGATATATATATATATATATTGCAAAAATGAGTATATGTTACCATGCATATATTTCTAATAAAATTCAAAATTTTCAAGCAGCTAACTATTTGACTTTCTGTTATACCGGACAACTCAAAAACTGGTGGTTTAATTACCTTAGATGAAAGGAATGAAATAGCTAATATTGTCAATGTTAAAGGTGATAATGATAGCTTTACTACTGTAATCTATATTATTATCAAACATTTTATTGGAATTCCTACTGATGTTATGGATAAACATTCTGATATTCTTGTGAATCTCAACTGTCCAAAATTTCAAGATTTTCGCTAATATGAAAATATGTTTTTAACACGTGTCTTAATGTGAGAAGATTGTGATCAACCCTACTGGAAAGAAAGATTTTTATCTAGACTTTTCTCTGAAAGAGTAAAAAATCAAATCAAAAAGGAAAATGACAATACTATTCCTTATCGTGATCTTACTTTGGGAAAATTAATTAGTTTCGTCAATCGAGAAGGATCAGCTCTCTGTAATGATCTCAAATTTAAAACCAAATTAAAATCAGAAAGATTTGATCGTCGTAAAGAGTTTGGATCATTTTGTGAACAATATAGTTTTGAAAAAATTGTTCCTCCTTCTTCAAGATTGAAAAGGTTTATTAAAATTTAAAAAAAAAATTTCAAAAATCTTATCCAAAATATTCTGCTAAGAAAGATTTTCGAAGAAATTTTTTTCAAAAACTTCTAGCATTACCCGTTAGAAATGCAACAGTTAGGACATTATTCTAATAAATGTCATATAAAGGGAAAGATTAATAATCTTCAAATTGATGAGGAAATTAAATTTGAACTTCTTAATCTTATTAATTTCAGTTCTGAAGAAGAATCTGATTCTGAATTAGAACAAGTTCATCAAAATCAAGAAGAATCTGATGTTGAATCCAGTTCAAATTCATCCTTTTCTTCAAGACAAAGCAAAGAAATTTGTGGTTGTAAAACCATAAATATCCTTACTAAAGAAGATAAAATTATTCAAGAAGTTGTTGATCAAATTGATGATCCTCAACTAAAAAATAAGTTCAGTGCTCTTCTACCTGATGGAAAATGTTGTTCAATAAATCAATAAACACGTGTGTGGAAAGAAAGAGGATATGGGAGCCAATACTTTGGCCTATGCGCAGGCCTATGTGGTTGCATAGCCATTAACCGAAACATAGAGTACGGGTTTTGTATAAACCATGCGACCGCATGGTGTAGCTTTTTAGTGCCTTTGGAGGTGGTTTTTTTATTCAAATTTGACGGCCTTTCACTTATACTTTGGCACCACTTCATATAGCAATGTTTCATGACTATAAATAGGTGGTTGATGATCATTCTAACTTTAAGAAAAACACTTGATAATATTTGTGATCATAATCTTTATTCGACAAAGAAAATATCAAAGTTTTCTTCATCTATATTCAATATTTCTTTTGTGTTCTTCAAGTTTTGGAAAATTTATACAAGTGCTTAAGTATTGATTCTCTACAAGGCTTAATTACTCCTACAAACCATTGGCCGCGAGACCTTTTAAGCACCAAAATTGTTATCAAGAAAGGGCAAATATCGTTTGAGAACAAAGAGATTATTTTTGTGTTTAAGCCTTCATATTGATTTTGATCTTCTTGTTCATTTTCATCTTTTTGAATCTCCATTTTTTGGTTTCTACTCCAATTTCCCCGATGGCGATAATTTCCCAACAATCTCAAACGATATTTCTGTGATAGAGAATAAAATCACTTTGACAATGATTAAGTCGATTAATCAAAAATCTGGTTTGGATCAAGTGGAGAGACGAACTTCATGGGTTGTCAAGCACAAATTGAAGTGGCGTTGAAGAGAACGATTAGGAAAGAAACGTTGAAGATTGAAAGGATTGAATCCTTCGTTATGTATCCAAATTCGGTAACTTTTATTTGTTTTATAAAATTCCATATTGGAAATGAAGTTTCTACCGATGCGAGGGGTATTGGAGTTTATATCACCATCAAAGAAGGATATGGAATTGGGATTGTTCTGCAAATTTAGAGGTTTGATTATGCAATTCTTTTTGATGGTTTAATTGAACAAGTGCATATGTCCATAAGCAGTTTATTAAATGGAACAGTTCTATGATTAATTCATCATGTAAAAGAATCCTGAATTGTTCATTAGCATATATTTGCTATTCTTGCATGCGATGGATCTGAGTAAAATAAGTGTGAAAATTAGGGACTAAATCAACTTTGCTTTGGAATTATACGTAAAAGTGGGCGGTTGTTTTTAAGCATTACCACATGAAAACCATGTTTTGTTCCTTGAAGCATATTCAGTTTATGATAAACGGCACACTTTCGATTCACGAATTTCCATATTATCTTTATGTTCTTGATCAAAAAATTGAGAATGACATGCATGCTTCTTGGTATGTGCAATTAATTAAGAAATATGTTTTAGTGGCATGGAACCTTGATTCTCTTCTTTGCATATGGTTAGATATGTAATGGTAAAAGAATTCTGTCAATATTTGGTAAACACAATATGTTTGATATTATGGCTTTTGGGAA